TGCTTATGTAAAATAGTGTATCATGTAAAAGATCAAGGTGAATAGAACAATCTCTAATGAAAGTGATAAGTTGCATGCTTGGATATACCGTGCTTATGTAAAATAGTGTATCATGTAAAAGATCAAGGTGAATAGAACAATCTCTAATGAAAGTGATAAGTTGCATGTTTGGATATACCGTGTTTATGTAAACTAGTGTATCATGTAAAAGATCAAGGTGAATAGAACAATCTCTAATGAAAGTGATAAGTTGCATGCTTGGATATACCGTGCTTATGACTTTTATTAAAAATGTTTTCCCACACACGTACAGAAGTACTTGAGTAAAGTGTACTGTAAAGAAGATTGTCTATTTAACAGCTTATAAATTAACTTAGTTTTATAAAACAATATTCACCATTTGTATACATTGGAGCTAGCCAGATTAAGATATCTGAGATCTTTAGTAATTCGTGCAGAATGGATTGACCAATAATCAAAGGACCATCTTTAATACACCTGATGTGGAAAAGTACAGACTTGTTTATAGCTGCTGTAGTCGTCTTTTTTGTTGTGTTATTTTTTCTTCAGTAACTTGCTAAATAAAGAGTAATACATTGGTATTGCAACTTTTTTTTAATTTGTTTATATTTTCAGAAAAATTTAATTGACATGTATTCAGAAGTCTTAGATGAGCTTAGTGACTATGATTCAAGTTACAACACTCAAGATCACTTACCAAGGGTAAGCTTTATGTGTTGAATATATCACCAAGGGTAAGCTTTATGTGTTGAATATATCACTTACCAAGAGTAAGCTTTATGTGTTGAATATATCGCTTACCAAGGGTAAGCTTTATGTGTTGAATATATCGCTTACCAAGGGTAAGCTTTATGTGTTGAATATATCACTTACCAAGGGTAAGCTTTATGTGTTGATTGTACACCAGATATACTATGACATATAGCTGACACAAGTTGATACAATGTTAAATACTACATGTAATGAGCTTTGTGAAGTTTACTTAGAATCTGTTCAGTAGATACACATTAAATTTATTCCTACAAACCAGTTAGATTTACTCACAAGATGAGTTTTAATGTTTTGTTTTTTATTATCAGTATTTTTGTGTTTGGGATAAATTGACCATTGAAAGAAGGGAGATTATGTTACCAGGAATTGTGGGTAAAAATCAAGGCATAATATACATATAGAATCAATAAATTAAAATTCCTTATTTGTTTTTTTTAAACAATTTGATATGTTTTATAGAATCACACCATACATGTAATACTAAGTCATAAACTAGGGTTGTTAAGTTTGTGACTTAGTTTTACATGTATGGTGTGATTCTACAGGGTTATAAAGTTTGACTTAGTATTACATGTATGGTGTGATTCTACAGGGTTATTAAGTTTATGACTTAGTATTATGTATGGTGTGATTCTTCAGGGTTATAAAGTTTGTGACTTAGTTTTACATGTATGGTGTGATTCTACAGGGTTATAAAGTTTGACTTAGTATTATGTATGGTGTGATTCTACAGGGTTATAAAGTTTGACTTAGTATTATGTATGGTGTGATTCTACAAGGTTATAAGTTTCATCATTTCCCCAAGCTGGTGTTTTCCATCACTTAAGCAGTGTGAATAATAACATTATTAGTGTTTTTGGTCGAACCAATTGTTATAGTTATAGTTTTACATTCTCTGATAAGATAAAGTGCAAAATATCCAGTTTAATGTTTTTTTTTAGGTTGTTGTAGTGGGAGACCAAAGTGCTGGAAAGACGAGTGTATTAGAAATGGTTGCTCAAGCTAGAATATTCCCACGGTAAGGAAGAACGAGACTTAATCATAATTGTTTTTTTTCTTCTAAAGGTCAGAGAAAATTAAAACAAAATTATTCATTAAGATGTATCCAGCTTATTCAATTCTTAGAAAAGTTACTTTCTACACGTCACAAGATCTTAGTCAAACGTTGACTAAGTCAAATGGTTGCTCAAGCTAGAATATTCCCACGGTAAGGAAGAACGAGACTTAATCATAATTGTTTTTTTCTTCTAAAGGTCAGCGAAAATTAAAACAAAATTATTCATTAAGATGTATCCAGCTTATTCAATTCTTAGAAAAGTTACTTTCTACACTTCACAAGATCTTAGTCAAACGTTGACTGAATATTAAGAAAAGGGAAATTACTTTCTTTTGTTTTTACAACACAGTCAGAGGAAGTTAAGAATGATTTAAAAACTTAAATAATTATCTACTTATTTTATGAACTAACTAATGATTAATATTTTTAAAGTGAAGATTTATATAACATAGGTGTTAACTTCTACCTACAAGAGAATTGGCCTTTATTTAATTTATGTAGTGCATATTTGTGTATAGAAGACACATTAATACTAGAAATAAGCGACCTTATAACACCAAAATGTTGTTTTTATTTAATTAGAAACTCAACGTTTTGCTTTTCAGCTTCTTCAGGAGCGTTCACATAAACACAAACCGAAACCAGGTTTAAGTTTTTGTTTTTTGTGAACGCTCCTGAAGAAGCTATAAAGCGAAACGTTGAGTGCCTAATCAAATAAAAACAACATTTTGGTGTTATAAGGTAGCTTATTTTGTTGTTTTGGTGTTATAAGATCATTTATTTTGTTGTTTTGGTGTTATAAGGTCATTTATTTTGTTGTTTTGGTGTTATACAGTCATTTATTTCGTTGTTTTGGTGTTATAAGGTCATTTATTTTGTTGTTTTGGTGTTATAATGTCATTTATTTTGTTGTTTTGGTGTTATAAGGTCATTTATTTTGTTGTTTTGGTGTTATAAGGTCATTTATTTCTAGAATTGCCCTTTTGCCATGTTTTATATATATATACGTATTTACATCTATTTTATGAACAACAAGGAACCTGTTCATATAGACTTTCCCATTCACTATACTGAACTCTAAAATAAAACACTTAAATCCAACCCTTATCATTCAAGTATTTACTCTGCCTTCCCTTAAATTAAATGTACCCACTACATTTGAAGGAAGCCCATTCCAAAAGCCAACCACTCTTTTAAAGAAATAAAGCTCTCCTACCCTACTGAGATCTATATTTAGTTTCATATTTAATATAATCTTGAGTAATCTCATGTTAAAGTATTTGTCCTGGATTTTTTTCACTGTTCATTTGTTAAGGTGTAAGAAAATGCTCCTTAAACTAATATCTATCTAATATTCTTTTTTTTACCATTTACGCCAGGAGTAATAGGTAATAGGGGTCGATGGTCTATTGATCAACTTAGATATTTGTTTTATTCTTTGCGTGGATTATACTTAGGTTTATAAATGAATGTGCTCGTGACTGTTGCTAGTTTGTGTATTTCAACTATTTGTGTTTGTTTTATTATTTATGTGGATTATACTTAGGTTTATAAATGAATGTGCTCGTGACTGTTGCTAGTTTGTGTATTTCAACTATTTGTATTTGTTCTGAGTAGTATGAATTTTTCATGAGCATAATTTTGTACATTTTTGTAAGTAAACGCTTTATGCATATCGACCACATCTCATCAAATTGCAAGAAAATCATATTGACCTAACTGCAAAGTGTATTGTCATACCCCTAGGTTGGTGCTCATTTTGGTAATTGTCCTGTGTTTATGCTGATATAACATTTACTTGTAATAATTTGGTTATCTTGTGTGTGTTTATTTAGGGGCGCTGGAGAGATGATGACACGAGCTCCAGTCAAAGTCACCCTCAGTGAAGGCCCCTACCACATAGCGAAATTTAAGGACAGTTCTAGAGAATTTGATCTGACTCGGGAAAGTGAGGTATGAAAATAGTGTCGTCTTTAAAAAGGTGGCTTAGGAAATTCTTTTATTTGTATAAAGAAAAATAATTAGATACTTTCTTGATGGAGGTCTTTTGGTTCTGTTCTGATCTGTTGCTTGCTGAAAACTACTTTGTAAATAAATATTTAACGTCATTTGTAAAAACAAAAGTAACTAAAGAGCAACATTGAAATATGTTTTGTATTTTTAGGATTTATTTTCATGCTGCATGTTTCTAATAAAGCGTAATGGAATAACAATGTAATACTCTTGTAATTATATTGAACGCATACTTCTAGCTTTAAAACCTGAATGTGCCTTTTTTTATATTTATATACACTTTTAGTGCAATAATTTGAGGCAAACAGTAAATATATATAAGTATAATAGTAGTCTATATGTTGTCTGTTGTATGTCCATGTAATTACTTCGCAGGGTGTGGGTGGATCTTCACCAAAATTGGTATGGAGGCTCATTAGGTCCATGTGGGGGTACATACAAATTTTCAGTTGTGCATTTTGTCATTTTTACAGGCGTTTTTTAATTTTTTACCACTACTTTGCCCCTTGTAGATGGATCTTCACCAAATTTGGTATGGTGGCTCATTGGGTCCATGGAGAGATAAATACAAATTTTCAGTTTTGCGTTTTTACCACTACTTTGCCCCCTGTTGATGAATTTTCATCACATTTGGCATGAAGGTTGTTGGGTCCATGCGGAGATATATTAAAACTTGGGGTTTCACATTTTGTGTTTTGCAGTTTTTATAGGATTTTTTTTTTTTTTTTACAGTTACATATAAGGGAAGGAACTTTTCATGTCCTAATCATGAATTTACATAACTTTTGTGGGGGACGGGGTACTCCATCTAGTGATAAATAAACTTTCTTGACTTCATTAGCAGTAACTGAAAAATTCTAGATGTGTAAGTTTCAAATTTGCAACTCTAATTATACAAAATGTATATAGGCAAACTTACATATGGTAGTTTCAAGTAGGAAATCTTGTATAGGTCAAGTCTAGGTAAGCAGTTCCAAGACCATTAGTTGTAGGTGGTAATCCTCAGTACACCAGTTTTAGGTAGGCATTTCTGAATATATCAGTTCTAGGTAAGCAGTTCCAAGACCATTAGTTGTAGGTGGTAATCCTCAGTACACCAGTTTTAGAAAGCCATTTTTAAATATATCAGTTCCAGGTAAAGAGTTCCAAGTACATTAGCTCTAGCCATGCAATTGTAAGTTCATTAGTTCCAGTTAAAAATTATATCATTTGTATTAATGCTATATAAGCATAATTCAGATTGGATTTCATCAATGTTGATACATGTTTTGATATATAATGTTCAGTGTTTTAGTTGCATACTTGATATTTCTTTTTCATGTTTAGCTTGCAGACCTAAGAAGAGAGGTAGAGCTACGAATGAAAAATAGCGTTGTTAGTGGAAAAACTGTCAGTTCTGATGTAAGTTTAATACTGATCTCTAATATTGTAATAATGAGTGAAAAAAATTTCATTCAGGGTTGGAAAATAACATTTTGGTTGTTCATTATGGAGATGTGTTTGGAAGAGATGAAAAGGACGTGATGTGATAGAAAATGTAATACACATTCAAACTGAAGAACTTAACCAGGTAGTAATTAAAGAAGATTAAACTATGATCTAAACAGGAAACTATCTTTACCTTTACCACGTTTCACAAAAAAAGTCCACTTAAATTATAGAGATATCTCTTCACTTAGAAAGTGTAGTTAAATTTTAGAGATATCTCTTCACTTAGAAAGTGTAGTTAAATTTTAGAAATATCTCTTCTCTTAGAAGGTCTGATTAAATTTTAGAGATATCTCTTCTCTTAGAAAGTCTGGTTAAATTTTAGAGAGATCTCTTCCATTAAAAAGTCTAATTAAATTTTAGAGATCTCTTTTTCATTAAAAGGTCTAGTGAAATTTTAGAGAGATCTCTTCCATTATAAAGTATAGTTAAATTTTAGAGATATCTCTTCCGTTAAAAAGTCTATTAAATTTTAGAGATCTCTCTTCCATTAAAAGGTCTAGTGAAATTTTAGAGAGATCTCTTCTCTCAGAAAGTCTAGTTAAATTTTAGAGATATCTCTTCTCTTAGAAATCTTAAAGTTTCATGCCTTTTATGATTGCAGAACAAGAGAACATTGTATCAGAAAGTCCTGTAATTTAAATTTTCTTGGGGGGTCAATTTACTTGTCATCTGTACATGTAAATCATTACATTTTACTTACACCGGAACTAAAGAGATGGGGCTCTTAGCCTGTGTAGTAAAAAGCCACAGACAAAGCCGGGACAAGGTTTAGAATGTGTAAATTGTTATCAGAGTTCATGAACAGCCTCCCATAGTGTTACATTACAAGATTTATAGTTTATCTGAAGTGATATTCTCTCTCTCTGTAATTTTATTTTAACAATAGAAATCTAATTATAAAGCATATTACAAACATATTAAGGAAAAATGTTATATTACACTTTTTCAAAATTAGTTGGCCCGTCATGGCCAGGTGGTTAGGGCACTCGACTCGCAATCTGAGAATCACAGGTTCGAATCCCCGTCACACCAAACATGCTCGCTCCTTTCAGCTGTGGGGGTGTTATAATGTGACGGTCAATCCCACTATTCGTTGGTAAAAGAGTAGCCCAAGGGTTGGCGGTGGGTGGTGATGACTAGCTGTCTTCCCTCTAGTCGTACACTGCTAAATTAGGGATGGCTAGCGCAGATAGCCCTCGTGTAGCTTTGTGCGAAATTCAAAACAAACAATCTAAATTTTTTTTAAATTCCTAGCATAAGACAAAAGACATGCCAATGTAAGAATCAAGTAACTCGTGCATAATGTAGGGCCCTGTGAATCACAAAATGTTTTTCAAATTGAATCATGGATCAGCTGTGCATATATAGATTATAGGATATATAGGCTTTATTAAAATTTAAATCACATAGAAAGTGGTTTCTTTATTTATGTAGAGTGTTTCTACACACAATTAATAATGAGTATAAAGATAAATCTTTCGAAAAACAAAAGATATAATATACTTGAAATATCTAGGAAGAAGAATGGTACAAAAGTGTTCTTACAAGGAAATAGATTCCAGTATATAGACTGAATTAAAAGCTAAATTCTAAAGTTTACTGAAAGTGGTGTAAATTCGAATATATCAAATCGAAGCCCCAGCAAATGAATCGAATCTCGAAGCTTCACAGGGCCCTAGCATAATGTGTTTGTCAACAAGCTTCTGATTGGACAAGTTCAGCAGTGAGTCATAACTGGTTAAGCCATTCATTTTTATGCTTTAAACTCTTGCTGCTGATGGAGAATGTAGCTGATTGAGTGTAACATTTTTGGATCAGGCAACAGTTTATTTTTTTTCTCTTTTCTGTGGTATGAATAACTCGGCTGTAAAATTTAAACTCGTGTACATAGGAGATTCGGGACCCTAAATATATTACCATTGTGTTTAATTGTCATGTTGTGGTTACTCATTTACTGGTCTTTTAAATAACCTTTGTAACATCTTGACCATTTTTCTGATGAACTCTTGCAGCATTTTATTTGCAGGATTGTAGATAAAAGGATTTGGAATATTCTCTTTCATCTAAAATTGCTAAGAAATAATCTGGTAGCTTAATTTTGTTTTTGGAATATTTTGTGTAGAGGAAAAACAAACGTTTATTGATTACAACTTCAGGTTTTACAATTTATACCAGATACTGTTTGTTTAAATTCAAGTTGGACTTGACCAGCATTAAGTTGTTAAAGCATGGTTCATTGAATGTGAAGTATTTTTATACATTCAGTTCAGGACTGGTTCAGAGTGGCGTCCAGAAAGGAGAGAGAGAGAGTATGGGGGCATTTCAGCTGCACCTGGTTTTTCGAAAGCCACTATCACTGAGACCTTCTGTAAAAACGTTTATAAATTCCAAACTGTTGTGGTGATAGTTTATGATGATTAAAGACTGTCAGTTTGGGCGAGTGAACTATTCTCTCAAAAGCTCAAATAGCATTAAATTTATATGACAGTCACTAAGAAAGGTGATCCTTAATTGAGCAAAAATAAACATAAATGTCTATTGAGTAAGGCTTCAAGTTTTGCGTGTGATAATACCAGACCCATCATTGGCTCAAGTGAAGCTTCAATAACTTTTAGATTTTTCACCCTACAGCGAAACCGAAAGCTTCTCATAAAAAAGCCTTTAATAAAACATAAAAAATGTTAGGTGAAGCAGAAAGTGTGGTATGAGGGAAAACATGATAGACTGAGATTTAAGTTTAGGAACAATTTAAATTAACTGTGTGTTACAAGAAACAGTAAAGATAAACCCATACGTATCTCGATAAGTAAACATATTTGTATACTGGTTATATTAGGAGGTATTATTTAAGTGTGATGTCTTTTTTAGGTGATAGCCATGACCGTAAAAGGACCAGGAATTCAAAGAATGGTGCTTGTTGATCTTCCTGGAGTTATTAGTGTAAGTATGTAACTTTGAAGTATACATAAAAGCTGGAAAAATTCCTATTTTGTGGTAAAAATCCTTTGTTACATTTTGTTCAGAATGGGATATTTGATGTACTGACAGTGCTAAATGTTAGTTTAATATTTTATAGAGAAGTTGATGAACAGACCTTTAGTTTTAAAAGACCACAAAAATCATATGTTGGTCTACCACCGTTAGGATTAGGAAGTGAAAAGTGACCACTTTTAAAAGAAGCACGAGAAGGATTAACTTTTAAGGTTTTTGTCGGTGAATAAAATGACTAATAAACTCCAGTTTTTTATTATTAGAGCATCTATTTTTTACACTATTTCAATATTAGACTACTCGTTGTTGCCTTTTTAGATTAATATAAAGTGAATGTCACAGTTAAAAGTTGCCAGTTAACTTTAATACGGTTAAAAAGAATTATGAATGGACTGTTACAAGCAAAATGATATTTTGAGTCCAATCAGTAATATTATTTTTAATTTAATGAATAATTTATTTTTACATTTATTGAGTGAGCGAGGTGGAAGTTTTGTATGTTTAAAACCGATGAGTGCGTGTATTTTTATTTTTCAGACCGTCACGACTGAAATGTCAGATGATACGAGAGAAGCCATTAGAGAGATCACTCAGACTTACATGAGTAACCCTAATGCTATTATTTTGTGTATTCAAGGTAGGATTATTGTTTTTTACGCTATAAAGACCCAGAGACTGTAGTATAATAAAATAAACATTAGTTGTTTAAGTTAGATACTGTTTTTCTTAACAGTTTGACAGATTAGCAGTGGTAGTTTAGAATTATTGAGAAATTAAAACTTTTCTTTTTGAAGTTGAAACCAAGTGAGTTGCTAAGTAACACCAATTTGAAGTTTATAATGTGTGTTTAAGTTAATAATCGAACAGCTCATTGCACACAGACACTTTTACTGTTATCTGTTCTAATTATTTAGTGCTGTAGTGAGACATATGGTAACTGACTGATGTTATTTTTCTGACCCTTTAGAGGGTATTATTTTGATAGCTCTATGCTACAGTCAGATAAAAGTTTATCAGGCTAGATGCACAGTGGTAGTGCAACAGACATGTGCTTTCAGTATACAATTGTTATATATGTATTTTATAAGGAGAATATAATATCACTGAGGTTTTCAGTTTATACTTTTACATTTAATTCACAAGTACTTGAAATGCTGTAACTTGGAATGAGAAAATATCACATTAAATCAGTATGTTTAGTGGTCATCTTTGACACTGTATAGCTGACATGGTCGTCCTTTATGTGCTTATTTTGTAAAGTAGGCTTTTTGAGTTACTCTCCCATTGTTAGCTAACCTCTACTTAAGTGCCTGTCACTTTCTATAACTTCTGTTTCCAGCATTAAACTGTGATTGAGTTCACTGTTATTGAACTATAATATTTCAACTACAGGCAACTGACCTGATAGTGGTGACCTCAAAAATGCTCTGTAAATTCCCCTGAGGAGAAAACCTCAAAATGTTAATCACATTTGAATTAGACTACTAAATGCAACTAATCCTAACCAGATTTAACAATGGACGCTAATTAACAGTTTTAATTATAGGTTTTTTGGTTGTTGTTGTTTTTTCCAGATGGTTCAGTTGATGCTGAAAGGAGTATTGTGACAGATCTAGTCAGTCAAATGGATCCACAGGAAAGAGAACAATTTTTGTTTTAACCAAAGTAGACCTAGCGGAGCTAAATATGACCAATCCTAACAGGGTTTGTTTTGTAGTTTTGCTTTTAATTTGTTATATTTTGTATAAAATTCACTACTCTTTTTTTGTAAAATCTAATGTATTGTAAACTATTTAGAAATGTATTTTCTTGTAATTCAACTCTTGTTTCCCTTCTGTCAAAAGTTATCTAAAAATTAAAGAGACAGTCTTACTTTTTTTTTTAATTCTGCGACCCATTTCTTTATCAAGCTTAGCCTTTTAAGAAAGACTTTCATTTTTACCTTGTAAATGTTTACCATAAATACTTAGGATTTAGCTTTTCTTATAATTTTTCATCATACTATTTTTTAATTCCCCACAGCTCAAGAAAATACTAGATGGAAAGCTGTTTCCCATGAAGGCTTTGGGATATTTTGCAGTTGTGACAGGCAGAGGTGAGTCTTTTAAAATTTTCTTGTAACAGTGCTTAGTAATTAATTTTTATTGTGTAAAAAATTAATATGTTTTTTAGATAAGTTTGTGTTATTTGTCATATATAATGCCTAGTGTTCTTCATATTTAAGGCCAGAACAATGCCTCGGGTAATGGAACCACTATACAGGGCTCCCACGGGTTTGGAAAAAGTCGGGGAATTTTTAATTTTTTTCAAGGCCAGGAAAATTTGAGATTTTAGCAAAAAGTCGGGAAGAGTTGAAATCCCAGTGTTTTGAAGTATGCTGTATGCCTTTGGCTTAGTTCTTATACATGTGTCAACATTTCTGTCTTCGATGGTTGATATTAATACAACAATTCAAAAGCATGCACACTGAGAAGAAATTGAAAGGGGATTTTACACCCCTTGCCTCCTGAACTACTTTCTTTTCTGCTGACTGCAATAGAAAGGTTGTGTGTGTTCTATTCTTACTTTTCAACTAGTGGTTTAAAAAAGAGTGTAAGTCGTACAGCATATACAGTAGTGTAGGTTTAACCCTTTTTGCTGCTGGATATGGAATTGAATCCTTTTCTTTCAATCTAGTGAAACAAATAGCTGTTTCCGATGTGTGTTTGTAGAACTCTCATGTTTATACAGTATGTATGAAGATGATAAGTTAGCCACCAATATGTATCAGTAAGTTACTTGTGCTTTAACTGCAGAGAATGCCGACTGCATTTCATTCTTGAAAAATCACTTTTTTTTACTCCAAATGTTTGCTTTGTTCTGTATGTACAGACTGATATGCATCTTAACATTTGAACATTACCCACTGTTACATAGCATTGTGTGATTGTAATAAACTGTATATCTGTTAACATTACCCACTGTTACATAGCATAGTGTGATTCTAATAAACTGTATATCTGTTAACATTACCCACTGTTACATAGCATTGTGTGATTGTAATAAACTGTATATCTGTTAACATTACCCACTGTTACATAGCATTGTGTGATTGTAATAAACTCTATATCTGTTAAGATTACCCACTGTTACATAGCATATGTTACATATATATATATATATAAATTACAGTAATATTATACTACATTCAACAACTGGTATTTTTCAACAAAAAAATTTAAATTACATTGTATTTATGAATCAATTTAAAGATGGTTTGGGTCAGCTGTGAGGGGAGGTATATTGAAGCCAACTTTAATTTTTATTCCATATCGTTAGAACATGTGCTTAAGTGTTACTGTTGACATTTATTCACCTTAAACTACGTTTTACTGTCAAATATTGTCTGTCAGTTTGTTTTTTGTCAGATTAATTTGATTGTATTGGTCAGGGAAAAGTCGGGCAATTTTGTATCATCTTCTCTGTGGGTACCCTGTTATATCATGCTCTGATATTTGTACTTACTGTCATATCTTCTCTGTGAGTACCCTGTTATATCATGCTCTGACATTTGTACTTACTGTCATATCTTCTCTGTGAGTACCCTGTTATATCATGCTCTGACATTTGTACTTACTGCCATATCTTCTCTGTGGGTACCCTGTTATATCATGCTCTGACATTTGTACTTACTGTCATATCTTCTCTGTGAGTAGCCTGTTATATCATGCTCTGACATTTGTACTTACTGTCATATCTTCTCTGTGAGTACCCTGTTATATCATGCTCTGACATTTGTACTTACTGTCATATCTTCTCTGTGAGTACCCTGTTATATCATGCTCTGACATTTGTACTTACTGTCATATCTTCTCTGTGAGTACCCTGTTATATCATGCTCTGACATTTGT